TATAGAACTGATAAACTTATCAATGAGAAGATAAGATATTGAAAAAATTACGCTTTAGTTGTTAATTCATTCAAATAATTAAAAATACGAAATATGTGAATATATAATTTTTTGTTTCGTGTTTTCGAAAGATCTAATAAAATTATAACCCTCAATAATAAATAAATACGGAACATATTTCGTAACGGTGAGCGGAAGACGAGCGGCAGAGGTCCATCTAGCAAGGCGCCTCAGCGCTGGCTCTCTGTTCAACGTGTGGAGTTGGAAGAGAGCCGAAACAACACCGCGGTGGCGCGGTGTTTTGCCCATCGCGTTCGAATTAATTTTAATGAATTAAATTAATATTTAGAAATATCTTAAATCAATCAACAAATTAAAACAACAATCCTTTTTATTAATATATTCTACACTACTGATATTAATTTCATTAAGATTTGTTGATGTATTACGTTCACTTTTGGTTTTGAATTTCTCTTTTAGAGGTAGTTTCATGATTTTTTTCTATCGAGAAAATATATCGAGAATATGTTTTGGAAACAATGTTCCCTTAGAATGTACGATCAAGATTAACATACGTTTTTTTTGCTGCTATAAAATGTGTAGATTTTGCTAAAAAATCTTTTGAAAACCTATTTTTACTGCATACAGCGCCTTAACAATTTAATTGGTGCCCCGGGGATTGGTGCACCGGGGATCGAACTCAGGTTGCTCGTGTATATTAAATTAAAGTTGAGCGCCCGGGTACTGAGCTATCATGGCTCGGTGTTAGGTATCGGTGTCCAGTCAGAATTTTTGATGTAGGCTAACTCCGTACGATCATAAAACATAGCCGAGCATCCACAAACTATAAGGTGTGATTTCTTCGAATCATGCCACTCTCTATAAAGCATTCGCGTCTTCGCAGTATGCGCCGACGCCGATATTCACCGTACAGTGATATCCTGGTTTCATCGGAGACGAATGCTCTATCAGAGTCTAGAAGCTAAGCCTGGTAACTCGCCGTTCTTGGTGTAATTTAGGGCCATGAGCCGAGCTATGACTACGTATATTGGCAGCAAAAAGTCTGCTCCTGACTATTTACAGACTTTTCGGACATTTCATACTTTTTGAGGCCTAGTTAAGAACATTTGCGAATTCTCAATTTCTTATTTTATCAGGATCCGTGACCATCTCGTGGTTCAGTACATGGCTTTGACCATAATCGAGAAGCATGCTTATGCCCGTTTTTACCACTTTACCTTTGTCTACCATCATACCCGCCGCTATACAGCAATGTCAATGTCTCCGAAATGAAACAATTAACTCAGATTTGTCTCAAAGTTAACACGACGCGATTTTCAATTTAACGAATTCGCCCCATAAAATGTAGTAAAAAGTAATTTTCCTTAAAAACCAGCCCCTATCAAAAATTTATTTTGGACGTTCTTTTTTAAAAATAATTTTATAGCCGTCCAGTTAAATATCAAATTATCAAAACCTTTTTCCTGTTGCTTTTTAATTTTCTCGTTAAGGAAAAAAATCATAATCGGCCCTTTTTTTTTCACTTGCTTAGAGGAATACCAGCGCCAAAATATGTAAATATTTAATATTATAACCGCCCGCTGGGCTATTTAAGCATTTTCTCAGAGAGGCAGAGTCTTTTTAAGCTACTAAATTACCGTACATCACTCACCCTGCCAAAAAATATCGTTGTGAAAATAATCATGCCAAATCCCCGCTACAGTGTTACGTAAAGCCACCACAAGAGGTATTTTTACATTTATCTATGCCAGTATGATAAAGCTTAAAGTCTTTCTGTCTATCAGTCTGTCTGTCCATCTGTCACCAGGCAGTGAGATACAGCCGATGAACCGTGATAGTAAGACAATTGAAATTTTCACAGATGATGTATTTCTATTGCCGCTATAACAAAAAAATAAAGTGAGGATCACATACAAGAGACATAATTTTTTTCCTGTTTTTATATATAATGGCACGGAACCCTTCGTGTGCGAGTCCGACTCGCACTTGACTGGTTTCTATCATTATCAGCAATACGTGTGCAGCAGTGGACTCAAACGGGCGGAAACGATTATTATCGTCAGCAGTTACAAAAGGCGATGAACTAAAAAGGCAGAATAGGAACATTATTGCACGCGGACTAACCAATCCCAGTAAGTTTTTAAGTTGCCGAAATAGCCGTGAGCTCGGGAGAGTTGCAGCTTTGTGCTTTTCAGTAATCGCACTCGACCTCAGATAGCCCTCGTCGATTTTGACGCGGAACTAAGAACGCACAGAGTAACTTATCGGGAAACACAGGTCTTATTTGGAAATAACAGAAGTATATTTTTTAAATAAATAAAATAAACAGCTTCGATTTGAATCGAATAATAATATAACCATGATTATCTATTTTTTAATTATTTTTTTTTTTTTTATGTCAACAGGTGTTTTAGGTGTACAGGTGCTCACTAGGTATCAAGTATTTTTTTTATGTGAAAAGTTGCCAAGCGAGCAGACGCTTCACATGATGTTAAGTGAATTCCGCCGCCCATGTACATCTGCTACACCCGAGGGTTGCAGATGCGTTGTCAATCTTTTTGAAAATTGGGCTCCGGCCACCTCACTCACCAGACGAAACGCGAAAGTGTTATACTTTCACTTTACGCCGGTCTTCTGTGAGGCCGTGATACTTACTCGGACGAGCCTGCCCATTCATGCAACAGCCAAGACTGCTGCGTGGCTCTACCACCGTTTGGTGGTAGAGTCGTAACTTTACCAGTATTGTTAAAAATTCAAAATAAATGTAGATAAATGTATATATCGATCGCATAGTGTTGTTATTATTTCGAAAATTGAGGGTTTCCTTATGATGTTTGTTCCTTTGGAAACCCGCGACAAATTCGTTAAGTTTATTGTTCAAAATAACAATAAGCTTAACGAATTTTTTGTTATATTCCTAATTTCATCACTTATAGCAAATAGTTCTTTATTAGATATTTACTGTCGTATTCGACTTAAATCTATAATAGAATGCTATCGTGTTATATCAAGTTCGGAAAACTTTCTAAGTACTAAAAGAGACAGACCCATCGGTGTATTATTGGTAGGTCTCATATAACATGTACTAATATATAAATTTCGTGATGTCTTATAAGACAAGTTACGTTCATTTTGACACCTGGGTTACCAATGTTATCAAAGTATGACCCTTGTCGTTTATTATTATCCAGCACGTTTATTATTAACGTCGTCACGTGTCGTTTATTATTAAGCACAGATCAATAACTCAAAGAAGTGAGTGGAGTCATGGTAACAGTCTTAGCTGTTACATGGGCAGGTCCATCCGGGAAAGTAATACCTCACAGAAGACTGGCGTTAGGTAGAAGTGTATACGGTAGAAGTGGAATACGATACTTCTGCGTTTCGTATACGTGGCAACGCATCTACAACCGTACGGGTGTTGCGAATTTCCATGGGCGGGGGTTATCACTTAACATCAGGTGAACCGCCGGATCGTTTGCCACCTACTCTAATAAAAAATTATCACACAAAACCTACGTGACGAGGGAAAATGCGCTGTATATTTTCAATGACGCATTGAATGAACAACATAAAATTTCATATCACGCCCGCATATTCCTTGTGTTCAATAATTAATCTGTTGTTCAAGAGAAAACGTGTATTATTCGATTGGGGTTAAAAAAAGATTTATAAGGAAACATATTTATAATGTTTGTTGTTCATTAAAGCTATATAATTGCGATGCTGGATATAACCCACAAACTGATGTGACACATATATTTTAAATATTATATATTTAAATATTATATATTTTATCACGCGCTTTAAAATAAACTGTAACTTTTATTCCTATCCTTGATCTTGTACCTTTCACATTCAATCTGATAAATTGATATTATATTGCTTAAGGAAGAAACCGACTGTTTTAAATTATTTTGTTTTAACTGTTAGTTTAGGACTGAATTTAAAACATTCTTAAATCAATCAATCAATTAAAAAACAAAAACAAAACCAATGAGAATGAACAGTATAAAAAATAAAACAAACAATTTCATAATTTAAATTTTACATACCAAATTATTGGAAAGTTATAAATAGAAACTGTATTAAGATCTGCTTTGATTTAAAGTACTTAAAGGCGTCAAAACGTTCAGATAACTTTAACATTGCTGAACATAGTAGCTATGTCTCACTCCTTTGCTCGTAGCAACGTCGTAGCCAATCGTAGCCAGTCGTAGCCTCCGCTCCGTATGGACTAAACGCATGAATCGCTACTTCTCGACTTACGTGATATATTTGCGAAAGTTATATCAATCTTTTAATAGTAGAAACGGTTATAAAACTAGTGTGTACATTCAATCAAGTGAAAGTGTGTATTGGAAATAGTTGGCTGTGGTTTTTTTTTACTTTACATCGAATGAAAAAAAAAATTTACTATATCAGCTACTAAAATTTAAACGATACAAAAAGTTTATAAAAATAAATTTTATGTAAAGTTACGTCATTAAGTGTTAAAGTGACATTTTTATATGGAGTTGTAGCGTATTTACTTATTTTATGTCACAAATCTGAAGTGGAACAATAAATATTTATCAGAACTTATGTATCAATTTTTAGGTAAATTTCTAAATTTCATAAGAACGCAGAAGCGTCTACTTGAATAAAGATATTTTGAAATTTGAATGATAATATGTGTAGCTCTACCACAGTTAAGATATAGACAGGCGTAGACAGATTATACAGAATTACATTTATCCGTTTTTAATGAACTCGAGTACCAAACAGTTTTTACATGTAATCAAAATGTGAAAATTTAAAAAACAGACTTCTAATCCAACGCCTACTTATATAAACTGTAAAAAGAGGGTTTAGTATATGCTATGCTATTGTAATTCTTACATTATTACAGCTTTAGTGACTTGGTGTGATAATATAAAAAAATACCCTAAATCATAGACCAGCTTTAGCCTGATAATTGATAAACAAACGGGAGGGACATGGCTTCGAATTCGAGTGGTTGCGAGATCGACTCTGTGCAAGTGGAGCGAGCAGTGGACTGTCCAAGAAGTGACCACAATCGGACCGTTGAAGAGCTGGTGTCCCGCGATCAGCACGCCGTGATCGTAGTCTATTGGGTGCTGATGACCTTGGGCGGGCTCGCGAACCTAGCGGTGCTGCTGAGCCTGGCGAGGACACGACGGCGCAAGTCCAGGGTCGACTTGCTGATGACTCACCTCGCTGTGGCAGACGTCTCCGTCACCTGCGGTGTTATACCGCTGGAGGTAGGAGGGCTTTATATGCTTTATCTAATTTGATTAAATGTGGATTTATAATTTACTAGCTGCTGCCCGTGACTACGTCTGCATAGAATAAATAAGCTCTAAGCGTAACATTCAGACTGAAAGACTTTATACTTTACGTATTGTAATCTATTAATACGGAAGCAAAATCTTTTAACGACAATTAAGCAGACGGATGAATATCAAATTTTTCAAACTTATCAGTACACTAGCTGCTGCCCGCGACTACGTCTGTGTAGAATAGGCTGAAGGCGTAACATTCAGACGGAAAGATATACATAACATATGTATATAAATTATAGCCTATGTGTTCCCAAAAGCGATGAAAAAATTTTGACAGTCTCATCAAAAATTAAAAAAAAGTAAGTAAAGTAACAGCCTATACATGTCCCACTGTTGGGCAAAGGCCTCCTCTATACAGAGGGTATCAGGGCATAGTCCACCACGCGGCCCCACTGCGGATTGGCGGACTTCACATATCTTCGAAATATTTTTTTTGTTATTATTTCGAAAATATGCAGGTTTCCTCACGATGTTTTCCTTCACCGCGGAGCACGTGATAAGTCAGCACTTAAAGTTAAAAACTTCATTGGTGCCGGCACCGGGGATCGAACTCAGGTTGCTCGAGTATATTGAATTAAAGGCGAGCGCCCGGACACTGAGCTATCACGGCTCATCATCAAAAATTAAAATCTTTAAAATCCTCTGTTCTTTTTTCTCTCATATTTTAATGGTACCTATCAGCAATATTCATTGTTATGTATATATTTATCACTACGATTAGGAAGAGCGATTGTTAAGTTGTGTAGTAATTTTTTGTTGTTTTCGAAAGCATTAACGCTTTCGAAAACAACAAAAAATTAGTACTTAATTAGAATAGCTTCTATTTCTGATTCAAATTAGACATTAAGAATGTCTAAATTTTGATAAAAATATGGTCTTTTACTTATTGCCGAAATTTATGAATAGACTTATTTAGAGTTAACAAAATGCTTTGTGAACTGTATTATGTTGTCTTATCCACACCTTAAATGACAAATGGCAAGGCATATATGAATCCTAAATATGTATAGATTCATAAATAAGTGGGGAATAGTCTAATGCAAATGAGATTTAATTTAACCGACGTATTCACAGAACTTGAAACGGAGGCAAATAATAACCTTGAAGGGGCTAAGACAATGTTATAATAAGAATTTAATTAATATTCAATTGGCATTTCTTCATTAACGTATGATGTTGTAAAGATTATAAAAAATATAAAAATAATGTCCTCATTGTGCACGTTTCGATAATGTGATAAAATATTAAAGAAGTACTGAAATTCAAATGTGCTCGCATTTGTTTGAACATCGCAAAATATCTATCAAAATTTGTCTGTGATCTTATGTCAGTGGTTTGCTGGACGAGAACTCTTTTTAGGGTTAAGCTTGCCTATGCACGTTAAAACGTTACCTTAAATTTATTTTCGATTATAGGTACTCTGTGTGCAATCCATACTAATATTAAAAATGCGAAAGTGAGTTACTTTCTGTCTGTCTCGCTTCCACTCCAAAACTACTGAACCGATTTAGATGACATTTGGTACACAGATAGCCTAGAGCCTGAGAAAGGTCATATGCTATATTTTAATTGGATTAAAGTGTTGTAAAGGGTTGCAAGATATTTATTACAGGCCTTCAACGCGAGCGAAGCCGCGGGCGAAGCTAGTAAAGAAAAAAGAGTATTTAAACTATTTAAAAAAGAACGAATAACTTTCTCTTTCTCGGCCATAAGAGCTATTTATAATCTAGATTTCAATGCATCTTTGAGAGCGAAGTTTAAAGAAATAAATATATTACCTTAGCCTCTCAATATATATATGAAAATGTTATGTATGTGCGTAGAAATATTAATAATTTTGATAAGAATACTGATGTACATAATGTGAACACTAGGAACAAACACAAGCTTGTAACGCCAGTTACAAGACTCCATAGAGTAAGTAACTCGTTCATGGGGCGGTGTATACACTTTTACAACAAAATCCCAGTAAAAGCGCAAAACCTGCCTATTAACAGGTTTAAGAAATTTATTAAAGGAAAACTTTATAAAGAGGGTTATTATAATACAAATCAAAAGTCAAAAGTCAAATATCTTTATTCAATATAGAAGCATTCACTTACTTATTGATAGTCAAAAAACTCTACCACCGGTTCGGAAGGTAAGCCACTGACCTGAGAAGAACCGGCGTAAGAAACTCAGCGGGACATTATTTTTTTTTACTTGCCGAAAAAAATACAAATATGTTCAGGATAGAACAAGGGAGAAGAAATAATGCTTCTGAAGAATGAATAAATGAATATAATTTCAATTAAAAATAATTAGCCTTGTATTTGAATGCGAGTCCGTTACGCGTTGGAAGTCAGTGCGAATGTATTGATTTGAATGTGAGTCGTTAACCACTTATAAGCCAATATATTTAAAATATAACGGTCGACTTCCAACGCGAGTGTTACAAGTATAAAGACAGTCTATGGTTTACACGTTAATTTATACATATTAATAATATTAAATTTATTTACAATTTAAGTTGTCTGTAGCGCAGAATACTCCCGGCCCTTGAAAGCTGGAAGCTAGCTTTCAAGTTTCTTCTTCGCAAGGCATAGGGAGCAAACACAGGCGATTTAAAGCTCTCCGTACAGTCCCGTTGGTAGTGGTGATGTCGGCGACACGCGGTACACCATCTGGTCCTGGAAATAATTTGTTGACACGTCCCAAGCGCCATGACATAGGAGACGTGCCGTCATCTTTAATTAGCACCAAGTCATTCAGTTGCAATTCCCTTGATTTAACACGCCATTTCGTGCGTGACTGCAGCTCTGCTATATATTCAGTAGCCCATCGTTTCCAGAAGTGTTGGCGTGCTTGTTCTAGTGTTCTAGTCTTGGTGATGGTAGAGATGTCAACGGTCTCCCAATCAAAAAGTGGCCCGGGGTTAAAGGATGGTAATCATCTGGAGAGGAACTCATAGGACATAAGGGACGGCTGTTAAGGATAGCTTCTATTTGAGAGAACAATGAAGTCAGCTCCTCGAATGTAAAATGGGCATCTCCTAATATTCTCCGTATGTATATATTTGTATATTTCCGTATGTTTATATGTGTATATTTCGCGGATTTGACCCCGGCCTCCCAGAGACCGCCAAAGTGAGGAGCGTATGAAGGACTGAATATGAATTCTATCCCTTGAGGAGCTCCAAATTCTATTAGCGATTCAGCCTGAGATTTAAACTGGTTGATGTCCTTGGAAGCTGCTACAAAATTACGGCCTTTATCGCAGTAGATAATTTTTGGCAAACCGCGCCTTGCTATAAATCGCTTCAACGTTAATAAGAAGGCATCTTTGCTTAAATCGCTTACGGTTTCTAAATGGATACACTTGTATCGGAAACAAATAAAAATACAAAGATAACATTTTGATATCTTACATCCTCTGCCCTTTCGATCAGCTATCATAAATGGTCCCGCAAAGTCTGTACCAACAGTACGAAACGGAAAGTCAGGTTCTAGGCGTTCGGACGGTAAATTGCCCATTATATTCTTTAATGTTTTACCCTTAAGACGTGTACAAATGAGACAGTTACGAACTGTTTGGCGAGCTAATTTACGACCGCCAATAGACCAGTAACCTTCACGAATAGAGGCAAGTAGTTGCTGGGGACCAGCATGTAAAAGGCGTTTATGCTCACTTTGAAATAATAATTTTGTTAAGTGATGATCAGCTTTCAATATAATGGGGTGTCTCTTCCCATAGGGATTACTCGAGGAATCTATCCTACTTCCTACTCGGATGATGCCTTCGCTGTCAAGAGATGGATTAAGGGAACATAAAGCCGCTTGGGACTTCATAGGTTTGTTGTCCTTAAGCAACTTTATGATGGTTGCAAAAGTGTCGCCTTGAGCTAATCTTATTAAACATTTCAAACTTCTATCTACTTCAGAAGCTGGTAGAGGGCCTAATAACAATAACTTATTACCAGGGTTTTTACAGTTATGTAAGAATCTAAGCACTCTAGCAAATGTGTTTTGAAGGGAAATAAATTTTGAAAACCTTTGTATGCAAATGCTAAGGTGACTACTTTGTACCGGAGGTGCAGCGTTCGCCACCAAGGCTGGAAAGGCTTCAATGTCGTTAGAGCTAGTGACTTGAGCGAAGCTAGACGTTGGCCATGCGGATTCTGATTCAAGCAGGTAAGGTGGTCCGTGCCACCAAAGTGAAGAAGTACGAATAGATTGAGGACTCATGCCACGTGAGACCAAATCAGCGGGATTGCAAGCTGTCGGCACATGCCGCCATGTCGATATTGTGGAACCAGTTATATCCCTTATTTTAGCTATTCTATTGGAGACATACGTATCGGTTTTGCTTGAAGAATTCAACCACCCAATACAACGCTTGAGTCAGACCAGTACACATATCGGTCAATATTGCACCGTAGAGCGTTGGATACAGCATGTGCAAGTTCTGAGGAAAGAAGCGCAGCGTTCAATTCTAGGCGCGGAATCGTCATGGGCTTTATAGGAGCTACTTTAGCCTCAGCGCAAAGTATATTTGAAGACACTTGTGAAATTTTATTGCTTGATCTCAGATAAATACAAGCACCTAAAGCGCGCTGTGAGGCGTCACAAAAACAATGAATCTCAATAAGGATAGGGCTGTCAAGTAACACATCTGGGGATCTTAATCGTCGAAAGAGATGGCAAATCCTGTGTAAATTTTATCCAGGAAGATTGAACATCCTGAGGCACCGGGTCATCCCAATCAAACCCTTGTTTCCACAACATTTGAACAAGAATTTTCGGTCTACTTGTGCATGGAGATAATAATCCTAGAGGATCGAAAATTTTGAACGTGGAAGACAATATATTGCGCTTCGTTATGACGTCTGGAGCTACGAAATTTATGTTAAAATGAAGCTCGTCCGACGAAGGATACCAACCCACGCCCAATGTGCTTGTAGAGCTACTAATCATTAATCCACTCTCCTCCAGATTGATCTCATCACAGTTGAGAAGTTAAGGTACATTTGAACGATACTTTCGCAGAGGAAATTTACCTTTAGCCAAAGTAGCGGCTACGTTACGCTGAATATAGCTTAACTCTTCTCTTGAGTCGCATCCCGTTAATAAATCTCTTTGGATTACGTTTTTAATTTTAAGATCGGAACACTCTTCTCCTAACTACCAAATGCATCTCGTACATAGATAACTAGCACTAGAAAACCCGTAGGTAACAGTATTTAATCGAAATATTTTTATGGGCTCCGACTCGTTGTCGCGCCACAAAATCAATTGCAAATTACGATCCGATTCTCTTAAAGAGACTTGTCGAAACATTTTCTCTATGTCCGCAGATAGAACATATTTATGCTGACGAAATCGTATAATTATGTTAAACAATGGATCCTGCACTATAGGCCCTACCATTTGCAAGTCGTTAATAGAAATGCCCGAAGACGTCCGAGTGTTAGCTTCAAAGACGGTGCGAAGCTTCGTGGACTCGCTTTGCACTTTTATTACAGGGTGGCGAGGTAGAAAATACGCTTCACTAGTTTTTTGATTGGGACCTGGGGAAAGATGACCGAGAGCTTTATACTCGTGCATAAATTCAAGGTACAACCTTTTAAGGTCCGGCTGTTTTCTAAAGCGAGCTTCCAAACTCAATAGCCTCCTTTTTGCAATATAGTAGGAGTCACCAAGACAGTCTGGTGTATCACGAAGGGGTAAGGCAACGCAGAATCTTCCGTCCTCATTTCGGATTGTATTAGCGAGAAAATGCCTTTCGCAAAAACTTTCTTCTGTAGTTAAGGGATGAGTCTGAGGAAAGCTCTCCAATTCCCAGAATTTGGTTAGTTCCGAATGGAGAGTTGATGAATCATCCATCGATGAAAAATTGCAATATATCGATTTATTGCTTGAACCTTTAACATTTTTACCTTTTAGGCCCATTACAGAGCCGGTAACTAACCAATCCAATTTAGAACTCCGAAGTATGGGGCCATTTTTACCCAACTCATGCGATTCGAAACCTATTATGTCCCAAAATAGGTCCGCGCCTATCAGCATCTCAATGTCTGAAGGTTTATTGAAGGAAGGATCCGCTAATCGAAAGTTTGATAAGTTTAGGTGACTAATATCAATTTTTACCTTGGGTAATTTACCTGTAATCGTAGGCAACACTAAGCAAGAACTTATGACTTTGTATCCCGAATTTTTGGAAACTAACTGCACCGCACAACGCTCAATGTTCAAATTCATTGAGACATCGCCAATACCTATGACCCGAGTTCTAGTTGGCTGAGGAGTCAGATTTAATCTTTGCCTTATGGCGGAAGTTATAAAAGTAGACTGACTCCCGCTGTCTAGCAGAGCTCGCACCATAAGAGTTTCCTTCGTAACAGGATTGGCAAGTTCGACTAGAGCGGTGCTTAGTAATATCTCTGGCGAGGCTATCGCCGGCATTGCTACAGTATGAGACACACCGGGAACAACCGATTTCTGCTCATCAGGCCGACTGTGCAACAGAGTATTATGCTTTTGCTTACAGTAACGGCATGTACCGTAGAGCCTACAGTGCCGTGAATTGTGACCTACTCGCAAGCAATTGGCGCACAACCTTAACGATTCCACTAAACTCTTTCTCTCTTCAATGGATTTCTCCTTAAATGAGGAACAGTCATAAATGCGGTGAATACCCTTACAGACTACACACTCAAGGCTACGCTGGGGAGAGGACGATGTGAGTGTCGCTCCGACCATCGATTTCGTGTGTGATCTTGTGGGTTGGGGAACCGAGAGATTGAAGGGCTTATTTCGAACTTCCTGCTTATTTCTTTGTGTCGTCTCAAGGACGTCGGCACGATTTTTAAGAAAGGTAAAAAATTGATCTAGCGTTGGTATTTCAGGTAAATTGTTTCTATACTCCTCCCACTTAAAGCACGTCCCGTTGTCAAGCCTTTGCGTGACCATATAAATGATTAATACATCCCATGTATCCGTAGGCAAGCCTAGGGTCTTAAGAGCCCGTAGGTTTTTAGTGACGTGATCTATTACAAAACGAAGCGACTTATCGCTTTCGCGTACACTTTCAAAGCTATGTAATGACCTTAAGTGATTATTTATTAGCTGACGTTTATTGTCATATCTTTTACACAAAAGTGACCAGGCTTCAGAGTAATTGGTCTCGGTTACCTCGAGATTACTCAAGACACGAGCGGCTTCACCCTCAAGGTAGGAGTTTAAATAATGAAATTTATGAATTTTATTAATTTTAGCATTATCATGTACTAGCGACACAAACGTTTCCTTAAATTCAAGCCATTTAAAGTATGTGCCGTCGAAATTAGGAATTTTTATTACCGGCAACTTAAAATTAATATCGTCAGAACACCCATGTTGACTACAGTGAGAACTAGACCTAGCCGTAGAAGCACTGTCGGAGTCGGGTTTTTTATATTTGTCAATAATATTCTGAGCAGAGGCTAAACAGTAATAAAAATCTGATTCAAGTCCTGTCACGGTCGCCAGTTCTTGTTCAGGATAGAACAAGGAAGAAGAAACAACGCTTCTGGAGGTGTTATATTAATATAATTTCAACTAAGAAATAATCAGTTTGTATTTGAATGGGAGTCCGTTACGCGTTGGAAGTCAGTGCGAATGTATTGATTTGAATGTGAGTCGTTAACCACTTATAAGCCAATATATTTAAAATATAACGGTCGACTTCCAACGCGAGTGTTACAAGTATAAAGACAGTCTATGGTTTACACGTTAATTTATACATATTAATAATATTAAATTTATTTATAATTTAAGTTGTCTGTAGCGCAGACAGTACAATTATTAAACTCCACTTGAAAGAGCCTGGAGCGATCAATTCATTTCCAGAGTGTGTTATCATTCATATAATCACTAATACTATAATAGCCATTAACACACTAATGTTCCTTTACAAGTTTTTTGAATTTAGCAACGGATTCATTTTGAACGTTTTCTGGGATTTTGTTGTAAAAGCGTATACATTGTCCCATAAAAGATTTACTTATTCTACGCAATCTAGTTGAGGGTAGAACTAATTTATGCTTGTTCCTAGTATTTACATCATGCACATTACTAAATCTTGAAAAGTCATTCTTATTTTTGTGGACATACATAACATTAGCAAGTATGTACTGAGAAGCTACAGTCAATATTTTTATTTCTTTAAACAGGTTTCTTAGTAAATCTTTGGGGCCCAGGTTATAAACCGCTCGAATAGCTCTCTTTTGCAGGATGAAAATAATATTTATGTCGGCTGCATTTCCCCAACGTAGAATGCCATAAGACATTATACTGTGGAAATAGCTAAAATATACCAGACGAGCCGTATCCACATCAGTCAACTGTCTAATTTTTTTGACTTGGCTTTATTGAAATGAATACATTAATGAAAAATAGGTTCAAAGACCTACTATTTGAACCTATCGCTAGTATTATTAATTATATTTAATTATTCAGTCATAGTTATAAAATATCACTTTTAAATTAAACCTCATTTTATTAGTAAATTTATAGGCCATTAGTATTTTCTTCCTTCATGTATGAAAAATATGAATTTCCTCTCCATTGAATAATAAATATATAAACTTTCGCGAAAATATAAAATAGATTTTTCATAAAATAAAACAGGCTGAACTCATTAGCCGTCAAAAAATAAAAAAAAATATTCTTTGAATCCATTTTCTGACTAAACGACCTGTAAAAATAAGTTTGCTCACCGACCTTTCCTACTTGTTTATATCTAATTAGATTGTGAAACCATTACTACAAATAACTTTATTAAAATTTGTAGAAAAGTTTGACGCCGCTGTGGGTATCGAACCCACTCACGTCTTCGGGATTCGCTCCCTGATGCTTCTACTTTTACAAATTTTAATGTGTAATTTTAAGTAAAGAGATTAGCACTATATAAATTTAAATAACTTTATGTTGACCACAAATTTTATCTCACCAACAGATCGGCTGGAAGTACACGAACGAGTGGTTGGCGGGAAACGTTCTATGTAAAATACTGCTTGTGATGCGTGCCTTCGGCCTGTACTTGTCCTCCAACGTGCTGGTCTGCATATCTCTCGACAGGTGATGCTGCATTGGTTAATATCCACTGGGAAGCTTTCCACGACTTAAGCTACGTTAAGTTTCTTTAACCTCAAAACTTGCACTAACGTTTACAAGTGAATCGTGAGTATTTAGAAAAACAATTACACATATGCTGCTAATAAATAAATATGCCGTAGTGGAAAAAAAAAATGAACAAAATAATAATTATAAAATATCTTTATTCACATAGACGCTTGCGCGTTCTTATGAAAAGTCAAAATTTTACAAAGAGATTAATAAGTTCCGAACCAGTGGTTCGGAGCGTATTTGCATTACTTCACTGCTTACGTGTAGACGTTTCACCCTTTTAATATTTTTCAACTGGAGATTTTTCTGCAGATTCTTCGCCGTCCTTTATCCGCTTAAACTGCGAGCGGCGGGAAAACGTAGCAAGTGCATGTTATACTGCGCGTGGGCGATGGCGCTAGCCTGCAGCTTGCCACAGGTGCAACTCTACAGATTGCCGGCCCTGCCGAGCTTTTAGTCGAGGGATTCTGAATTATATTATAGCTATTACTTTTTATATAAATATTATGTCTAATATAATGATTTATTTCTATAGTAGTGCGCCACAAAGCATTTGCTGTTGCACGAATGGGCAGGTTAATCCGGGGAAGTACCACGACCTCGCAGAAGACCGGCGTGAAGTGGAAGTGTGATATTTCTGCGTTTCCTTTGGTGGGTGTGGCAGCCGCGGCCCACTATATTAAAAGCTGGCAATGCATATGCAATTCTACAGGTGTTGCAAATGTTTACGGGCGGTGGTTATCGCTTAACATCACAGGTGAACCGCCAGATCGCTTGCCATTTTCTCACATAAAAAGAAATAACGGACTGTATCACATTTGATTTTGATTTCTCCAGCGCGTTTCTTACACAATAAAAAATTCTTGGTCATTGGACTGACACCCTAATATTAATTGTAATCCTGGTACCGGTACCCAATGAAATTGTTAATCTTAACTGCTGACTTATCAGGCCAGTCTGCAGACTCGCCGGTATATTATAATATTTTATATATAATATAATATTTTTTAAACAATAACAAAAAATATTTCGAAGATATGTGAAGTCCCCCAATCCACAGTCGGATCGCGTGGTGGACTTTGCCTTAATACCCTCTGCACAGGCCTTTGCCCATCAGTGGGGTATTTACAGGCTATAATTTTACTTTTTTAACTGAAGTCTGCTAATCAGCATTGGAGGCGCATGCTCGATTATGCCCTAATACCCTCTGTACAAGGAAACTTTGCCGAAAAGCGGGACATATATAGGCTGTTACTTTTTTAACATATACATAATAATCTTGGATGCAGAGCGCAGTATTCCGAGTGCTCGAGCACCCTCAGTTGGCCGGTTTCGAGCAGTGCGTGTCGTTCGGCGCGTTCTCCAGCGCCGCTCAGGAGGTGGCGTACAACGTTGCCTGCCTGTGCGCCATGTATTTTGTACCGCTCCTCGTCATCACCGCCTGCTACGTCTGCATCTTCTGCAGGATACGCCGCTGCAGCGTCGGCCTCGATGGTAAGTGGTCTTAGACTTTACAGGTGTTAATCACCGCCTGCTACGTCTGCATATTCTGCAGGATACACCGCTGCAGCGCTGGCCTCGATGGTAAAAGGTTAGACTTCACAACCGTTGGAAACAGGCCTCTGCTAATCTTCTTCTTCTATGTCCTACCTTTAGCCCTCATTAGGTGGGGTCGGTAACACATGTTCATCATTTATTTTCGAAACCATGTTGTAATTTCAGCTATTGGCTTTATTTTTATGTAATTAGCCTTTAATTAATTCATCCATTAATTCTAGGGAATTTATATTTATCTAACCTAAAATATTTTATGACTAGTATGTATACTAATACAGGTACGAAACTGAAATCTCAAAAAGGAAACTGTTTTCATGATCGTCGTATGCTCTCTAAATGAAGTTCGTATGCTCTCTAAATGAAGTATGTATACTAATACAGGTACGAAACTTAATCTCAAAAAGGAAAATGTTTTCATGATCGTCGTATGCTCTCTAAATGAAGTTTAAAATGATAATTCAACAAGAAGTTACTCCGGGATCATAACTTTCCTTTCCATAACTTTCCTTTCCCAGAAAGGAAAGTTATAATCCTGAAGTGGCTTGTGGCTTTGATCCAGGCTTTCTTTCAGAATTTTGGAATGAATGAATGAATGAAAATTTGAATTTTCGTCTGTAATTATTCCAATTTGATTGATTGATTGATTGAATACTTTATTGCACACAAGGAAATACAAAGAAGAAGATACCGGAAACATAGTGTACAAACAGGCGGCCCGCGGCCTTATTGCTAAGGTAGCAATTTCTTCCAGGCAACCTTTCTTCCAATTCCTTACTGCGTTCCGCAGATTGGAGAACAGGTGGACTTGTGTGGTTTGTATTTATATGCAGATTGCTTAAATAGGCCTGTGATATTATTGTGTAAAATATGTATGTCGCAGGATCACGATGTGGCGCATTAATTTGATTACAACACCATCTATTGGTAGCTCTATGTGATCCGCCTATCTCAGAGATATAAATATTTAATAAAATATTTATATTCATTGATAATTGCGCCACCCACGGTCATATGCAACAGCCATAGGGCTGTAAATGCGTTGCTACCTTTAAATAGAGCGGGCCCGGCTACTTCAATCGCCAGACGAAATGCAGAAATATAACACTTCTACTTCACGCCGGCCTTCTGTGAGACGGACCTGCTCATTCGTGCAACAGAGAAGATTAATCCCATTAAATGCGCAAAACCAGCCTATTAACAGGTTTAAGAAATTTATTAAAGGAAAACTTTATAAAGAGGGTTATTATAATACAAATGAATACATTAATGACAAAAACCCCTAGGAATGAGTTGATCGCTCCCAAGCTATTTATAAAAGAAAAAAAAATTAGTTGTATAATATTTAAATTTTTTTAAGAAAAAGAAATGAATTACAAAAAAGAGGATACCTACGGAGTTTCTTTCGCCTGTTTCTTCTCCGCTAGAGGAACCTCATTACGAAACGTTGGTAGATTAAAAAAATATGACTATCGATAGATGAAATGTAAGTTTCGATTTTGATTTTTGATTATTATTGTGGAGAACAGTTCTTTCTCTTCTTTTACCAAACCGGCTTGTGCTTGACTACCTCACTTGATTGTAAGATGTAATCTAAAAACCGCACTAGCTCGGAAACGGCATATTCGTGTGCTTTGAAGACGTTCACATTACAGTCGTGAGGTGTCGAGACACTTTATTAAAAGCTAGCAACGCATCAGTAATCAAACGGGTGTGGCAAATGTCTACTGGGTCCACTGGATGGGCGGTTATCACTTAACATCAGGTGAATCTAGCTCGATTGCTCTTTTACATTAAAAGAAGATAAAGCTCCCGTAGCAGTCTTGACGGAGGTATCTCATGTTTCTGCCATCAGGCTACTGCAGTCACGGGGCGGTTGGTTCGGGATGGGGTGTTGCTGGCAGACGTGTGGAACGGTGCTGTACGAGAAAGGAGGGCACGCGGTGCGACCACCTCCGCCGCTCCGACCACCGCATTTTGGAGCGCGCGCGCCGCCGCACCCTGCGTATGACCGTCGTCATCGTCACTGTGTTCGCTCTCTGCTGGCTGCCCTACGCCGTTATGGCCATGTGGTAAGAAGATAGTATCGATTGTACATATAAACAATACTAAGCACGTGATAATTCAGCACTTAAAATTAACAATTTCATTGGTGCCGGCACCGGGGATCGAACTCAGGTTGCTCGAGTAAATAGAATTAAAGGCGAGCGCCCGGACACTGAGCTATCACGGCTCTTATCACGTGCTCGGCGGTGAAGGAAAACGTCGTGAGGAAACCTGCATATTTTCGAAATAATAACAAAAAAAATATTTCGAAAATATGTGAAGTCCACCAATCTGCAGTGGCGTGGTGGACTATGCCCTGATATCTTCTGTACAGAGGGGGCCTTTGCCCAGCTGTGGGACATTTATAGGCTATTACTTATTTTTTTTACAATACTTAGATAACAAGACAACAGTTTCTTGTCTGATCTCCTTTGGACAGGTCTAGTTTAGTGAATCGGTGGTAGTTCTCTTGACATTCAATAAGAGCTTTAAATATTATACAGCGTGTCTTTACCATAAATCAGACAATAAATGAACATGCATGTAGAGAATAAATTTTTAAAATTGTATTAAACATTTACATACTCTAAACATCAATATTTACTGAGTTATTAAATTTTCCAAAACAACGAATTTTAGAACACCCTTACGTATTAAACTGTAACGTAATGTTCATTTGTGAAGGTCACATAGCATACGAATGACAAAGGATATTATGGATTTTTTAACGTTAATATTTTTTTATGATTATTGGCAAGTAGCGTTAGACGTGTTTTCATTTATTGTCGCGATTGTAAAGACACGATGTATATTGCCTACATTGAATAATGAAATTTTTACTTAATATTGACTTTAATCGCTTTACGTTCGTTCCGTTAACTTGGCGACACTCGATACTCGCTGATACCATTGTATGGTAAAAGTATTTTTATTTAGACAAGTTAATCTCATATGGCAAAGGTAAGTGGAGGATTTTTATTTTATTTGTTAGGACTATTATATTAAATAAGTTGTATAGAAGCACCAACTCGGTTTCCTCCAACATTAAAATCTGAAAGGAACGTAAAATAAGAAAGGGAATTACAACATATACATTACTACATAGTATAAAACAAAGTCCCGCTGTCTGTCGGTCCCAATGTATGCTTAGATCTTTAAAACTACGCAACGGATCTTGATGCGTTTTTTTGTACTAGAGTGATTCAAGACGAAGGTTTATATGTATAATACATTGCACCCGTGCGAAACCGGCGGGTTGCTAGTTGAATATAATTAATAATAATAATAAACAATAAGAAATGATACAAGAAAATGTACATCAAATTTTAAATAACTTTTCTAATTTATATCATAAGATGACGATATTACGAATTATGTACCGTAAAAGAAGTATGCAAATAAAATCATATTACGTAATTCTACATTACGTAAAAAAAACCGGCCAAACAGATAGCGGATTCATATTTCTTAGGGTCCCGTTTTACGGAACCCTAATAAATACATTGCCATAAAAAATTTAAATTGCTATAGAACAAAACCAGTAAATTAAGCTGATAAGATATAAATAAAGAGGCGACAAATGAATGTATATTTTAGGCCAAGTTCCAATCAAAGAATAAATAAACTAATGCAACGATAATTACTGTAAGTCAGTTGACAAAGAAAATGTATATAGACTGAATTAGATCGCAGTAAGTTACAGTGAAGGGACGTTTACCTTCAGTTCAATCGTATATATATTTTAGGCTTTAAAAAAATTTAAATAAATATCTTTTGCTTTCTGTATGATATCTAAAATTCACCGAGCTTTTACTACTGCGTCTACTTTGATGATAATTTCATTTTATAATGATGTAAATTAATTTGCAAGGCAACATTACCGTAATAACTAGACTTTCATGTTGGAACAACCTCATAAATAATCATGCAATACATTTTGAAATAAATATACTAATTATTTTGTTGATGCGGGTAGGTATAATTTAAATTAACATTTACAAAGGTAATTTAGATTAAATATAATATCGCGTTACATATAACTTTAGCAAAACTTCGTTACGTAATTTGTAATTAGTGCTCTTCGAAGATTGGCGGCTGTGAAAATATTACTATAAAGTTAACAGCATCGTTTTTTTTTTCTTGCTTATTATTTAGTTTATTTTAGTTTAGTCTCTTGGTGTCAATATCATCGTATCAATATTTTTGTGTAAGATATAAAAATTTTAATACGATGATAGCTGGCCTGGCGAACGTTATTTTGCTATATAAATTATTTCAATGGAATTTTTGAATGAGAATTCAAAGGAAAAGAATTTTCGGAATGCACGCATAATATAAATTTTATTAAAGGAAGCCTGGAATTAATTAAATATGATGTATAATTAAAGATATACAAATTAAATATTCGTAAAGCTTATTGTTGATAATGAAACTTCTAAAAGCCTTCACGATAACCATCATTTTTTATATATATATATATATATATATATATATATATATATATATATATATATATATATATATATATATATATATATATATATATATATATATATTTTAGATTACATCTTACAATCAAGTGAGGTAGTCAAGCACAAGCCGGTTTGGTAAAATAACAGAAAGAACTGTTCTCCACTGGTAGGTGTAGTGTTAAGGCCATGTAATAATCAAAAATCAAAATCGAAACTTACATTTCATCTATCGATAGTCATATTTTTGAAGTGAAACTTCTTTATCGGGGTTGGAAAAAAATTTAGTGTAACATTTTTGCGTTACGCGCCATCTTGTTCTTAGTGGTTTTAATAGTTGACGCTAGATGGTGTTAGTTCCTTTATGTGTTCATAACAATATATATATATATATGTTATATTAAAGTGATCAGCAAAATCAAAGGGTTTATTTTAATTCTAATATGTAAACAATATATTTCGTATTTCAGTTACCATAAGCCATTAATAACACCGAAGACACAATCTGAAGCTGACCGATGATGCTCTTCGAAGCCTCGATCGGCTCCTGGAACTTGCAGTTGCGAACGTCGATCCAACGTCCGCAAGTTCGGTTTTCCAAAAAAACTTAACTCACAACACTCGCGCGCGAGTCGAATACCTTCTACTCACTGGCTGACTATTCGGCAACGAAGGACCCTGTACAAATTCAAAGCGGTTTTTTGGGTCCGTGAGGTTCATTGAAATAAACAAGGTTCACGTTGCAAGTTTTTTAATCAACAATTTTTGCGGACCTTCATACTAATTACAACTGTCAAACCATAGTGTTTTAATTTACTACTAACGCCACCTATGTATTACAAATAAGAAAGTAAATATTATACAAAGCTAAAATGAAATAATTGTAGAATTTGTATTTATGTCTAAGATAATAAAAGCCTTTTATTAAACTTTATCTAATTTAACTTTATTTAACCAATTTCTGTAAAGTTGCATATAGTAAATTATTTTTTGAAAAATAACGTCATAAAAAAGTTTCATTACGAGTGTACGCTAGTACACGTATCGTAATGATTCCTCTAGCGGAGAAGAAACAGGGGAAAGAAATAGGTAAAGCTTTTTCTTAAAAAAATTTAAATATTATACAACTGATTTTTTTTCTTTTATAAATATATATATATATATATATATATATATATATATATATACTCTATTATATACATATGTATATATATATATATATATATATATACTCTATTATCAATAAGGTCATAAACGTTTAATTAACTAGTTAGGCCTTTTCAACTAGGAGTATATAATATACAAAACTACTCGTTGTCGGTACAATAGAAGTTATTTGATACATAAGGTACATGGTAGACTGGCGTTCGGCGTCCCGTGTGTCACCGCAAATCCAAGATATGCTGTTTGCGATGGCCGTTTCCAACTCCTGCATGAACCCACTGGTCTACGGTTCCTACGCCCTGCGCTCAAATGAGACCATCCAAAAGCTTATCAGAAAAGCCTGGTGCTGGTCTACCGACTCCAACACTACTACAGGTAGGGGTAGGAGAGGGGTTGAAGACAGCCAAGCCATCTACATTTCAACGTATTTGTGTTACTAAGAGATGAATGTGGCATGACCAGGGCGGATAAAGCCAGCTAAGCAATGTAGATTTCCACGCATTTGGGTTACTAAGAGATGTCTTTAGACCCACGCAATAGTCTTCTCTGTTGCACGAATGGGCAGTTCCGTCCTGTTAGGACGTGGTACTTACCCGGTCACTTCGTTATATTTCTGCGCTTCGTCTGGTGAATGAGGTAGTTGGGGCCCACTTTATTAAAGGGTGGCAACGCATCTGCGACTCTATGGGTGTTGCAAATGTCCATGGACGGCGGTTATCGCTTAACATCAGGTGAAAAGCCAGCACGTAAAAAACAAATGACGCTGTACACTGGACTTAACCGATACGAGTATATGTTGCTTTAAAATCCCATTATCCATATATTGCTTTAAAATCCTATTATCCGTGCTAAGAAAACACATTTTCAGATAAATTCATTAACAAAATTAAACTATACCGGTTACCGACTATACAAACATCATTCCAACTGAAATGCACGAACTTGATTTAAAGTAAACGACTGTTGCGTATTTATCAAAGGCCTTTGGTTCGATTTATTCTCCCTGGTTGGAGTTCAAAACAGCGTGAATTTCTTTTTAAATATAACCCGATTACTTCTCTTTAAGCCATTTTCGTTTTCTAGGCAATACGGGAATGACTTCGCACAGGAATAAATTACGTGATGTCGGCAATCCAGCAATAATCTCTAAGGTAAGAGAAAAATATTAAGTTCATTTATTTTATATTTATTCTACTTACTAAGTGCAACTCCATCTTACGTATAACATATAAAGAATTTTAAGACGATTAATGTCTGAAATAAAGTTTAAATTCGTTGAGGTATTTCCTTCTAGATTTCAGTACAATTTACGGACCACAGTATACTTGATTAATGTTGTTCAGTATTGCATTTCTAGTTTTCCTGTTTGGATGTAAACTTTACAATAATATAGCTTATACATCAGGATAAGACATTGGCTATAATTTATATATTTGTCTTTCCGTCTGAATGTTACGCAGACGTAGTCGCGGGCAGCGGCTAGTTGATCAATATACCGAAGGGCCACAATCTACATCTATAGGAAAAATACTCGTTAAAATGTGATATGTTCATTTTTTCTTTGACGTTATATTCTATCACAGCGCCGTTATATATTCATAAGTTAAGTATAAACAATGAAAGAGATTCTGAAAAATTATTAGGAAAATAATCGAAGCATAGAGTTGCTTAGTGTACCGCCAGTAGATCTGTAGAGCGGCGGTTTAGCAACTACGTGAACCATATTCTTATTAATTAAACATCCTAATTTGATAAGTATGGTATCTTACTGAAACATGATGATACCAGCTTCTTTTAAAGTTATCGACAAACGAGCAGACTGTTTACGCGTGATTACCGCCCATAGGCTGATACATCGCTTGAAAGGTTTTTGACGCGTCGCAATTATTATACAATTGGGCCCCGGTTACCGCACTCAGAAGACGAAACGTGAAAGTATAAAACTACCACTCCATGCCGGTCTTCTGCGAGACTGTGCTACTTGCTACGAGCCTGCCCATTCTTCAACAGCCGAAGCCGTGGCGTGGCCCTACTACAGCTGTCCAGTCGAGTTAAACGTAAGCATTTACAACAGAACAGCAATCGCACTCGTCTGGGCGTGCGATTTGCGGAGACCTCGCTGACGTCGCCCAAGGCCGGCAGCGCCCCAGAGCCGAGGGTGAGGCGGGGGCCCGCCTGACAGCCGCCGCCGCGGCTGCTCTGCGCCCCGCAAGAGCGGCAGCGCGCACTGCACGAGTGCCGTGGAGCTATGTCCACCCTGGTCTAAACCCGCCTCGCTACAGTGCAGCGCGCTACAGAGCCCTGATAGCTCAGTGTCCGGGCGCTCGTCTTTAATTAAATACACTTAAACAACCTGACTTTGCACCAATGAAAATGTGCTGGCGCACCGAGATTTGATCTGAGACCACTCTAGTATGTAATATGTTGAATTAATAACGAGCGCCCGGACACTGATATATTACAACTCTCGTCTGAGGTATCAACTCTGACCACTTTGATATACGATGGTTCTTATATGATCAGCTTACAATGACACTAGGACGCAGTTTCAAGCACCCGATAGAAACCTACAAAAGCTCCTGTTTTAGTATAACGTCGCTCTCCCTACTCTGAATTAAACCGTGTGATATCGAGTCCTGTATAAGAGTAGAAAAGTCAGCACTTTTCACACTTGGCACAGTCTCCTCACAAAATTTCTTTCAATCGAGGTCCTAGGGTAAGGTATGGCGCCGTGTCCGCCCTAGATATACATTACTCTTAGAACAATGTCGTGAAAAGGTTAAGAGAGTGCCTGAGTGGATTTTCCCCGCTTGATCTGCTCATTCATTGTGGTAGTGTGGTAGTGCACTACGCACAGCCCTACACTTACACTCTGCACATTAACTTTGAGTGGATACGACCATCTCGAATTTTAAAAAACTTATCAAACAATGCCTTTGTAAGGGTCACCGGCACAGCTATGCACAATGTGTAAATCTGGGTGTGAAATGTATGTTTCACTCTAGTGAAGAAACAGTAATATACCATAAAAAGGAGGAGGCCTCCCAGAATTATTGCTTAAGTGAGTCATTTACAAGGCAAGAACCTTGTAAATGACTCACTTAAGCAATCGGCAGCGGAGATCAAACGGCGGAGGGTTAGGGCAAAAGGGAGAGAAACCGGCTGACGATGCAGGCGTTATCGAGGAGCACCGCCTTCTGCATTTGAGCTCTGAGCGATCCATTTTGGAGCCCTAGTCGCCTCAGATGTTCGTAGAGTCTGACTTTGATTAACCCATCGGCAGAAACGACTACCGGTACTTCACATGTCAGTCAGCTTGTGAGCCAGGTCCAGATATTTTGTCGTTTATCTGTTTCTAACTCTTACAAGATGTTCTAGTTTTGAGGTTGTATATTTGTAAGCGCTCTGTGTGTAATTGTGTTAATATACAATTAGAATTGAATTTTCGATGGTCCTTAAAGTTAGATAGAGGATTTATTGTCGACATTTAAGGAAGAGAATATTCTCAATATTTGGTAAGCATATATATATATATATATATATATATATATATATATATATATATATATATATATATATATATGTATGTATATAACAAAAATTAAAAAAAAGTATATATATATATATAGACAGATAATTGTTAATAGTAAGTCGAGTGAGCTCATTTTAGCGGTGGAAGCTATTTCACTGATGCTGTAAAATAATCTTCGTTCGGTGCTATTTAATAATTATTGTAATGATTGATATTAGTATGTTTTATTTTTATTGTATTATGCGTGTATGTTACTGTAGACTAATGAGATATTTGATTTAATTTTCACTATGGAAAACTACGTTTAATGGTAAATCTTCTATTATTATGGCTTAAGAATCATCGCCAGTATTTGTTTTCAAAAGGAAAAGAAAAATAATATGTTGTAAATTGGTGTACTGTGTGATTCATATGTAACTATGCATACAGTGTGGCTTTTCTAAAGATGCCCAACTCACACAGGAGGTTCAGACTCCGTAGTATAATCGATTATTGAAATAAAAATAAACTTTTTTTTTTAAATTGCCCTAAAAACAGAACTTGTTGACAATGCGGCAGTCATTCATAATTACGTTGTATGCTTTTGAAACGAACTTGTGAACGTGTTAGTTATGAATGATCGCGCGTAAAATAAATGAGTTGCCCGTAAATCACGCACTTTATAGTGGTAGGGCCACGCAGTAGCCTCGGCTGTTGCACGAACGGGCAGGTTCGTCCGGGTAAGTACCACGACCTCACAGAAGACCGGCGTAAAGTGGAAGTATAATACTTTCAAGTTTCGTCTGGTGAGTGAGGTAGCCGGAGCCCAAATTCCAAAAAGGCTGTCAACGCATCTGCAAACCCTCGGGTGTGGCAGATGTCCATGGGCGGCGGTATTCACTAAACATCAGTTGAACCGTCTGCCCCTTTGACAACTTTTCACATAAAAAAATTAAAAAAAAAAAACTTTTTGAGATAAGTTCAAATGAATGTATTTAATGAATTACGAATGATTTTAAATATTTATCATTTTTTATATAACATTATTTATGTCTAGAATTTAATAAAAATATGGACACACTTAGAAAAGCCTCAATGTATACGTATGATAATCGTAAGTACATAGGTTATGAACATTGTCCGTTATGGTATAGCTTTTGTAATGTTAAAATGAAAAAACTTATTAAATAAACTAATTGAAAACATATTTTTTTCTATTCAATGCTATATAAATAAAAGGGATCTTGAAAGTAATGTGTCAAAATATTTACAAAGTTCTATATTATATACTATATAATAATTTCGGTATGCTTCGCTTTGCACAATTTATGTCTAATTTATATAATGCATACAACGAAATTTTTAAGATATTTGGAATTCTATTAGCTCACCAATTAGAATCCTATTCTGGGATCTCTAAAAACATATTTTTCTATTATATTTACCAAATATCTGTATACCACTACAATATCACAATAATAATTAATACTCACTAAAATAACAAGATTAATTAGTAAAAATATGGATACATACATTGCCCCTTTCCATCAAGGATTACGAGTAACTAGGTAATGGCATTTAAAAAACGTGTATGCAAACAAAACAAAAAAACTCAAGTCACAAACCAAGTTCTAAATAATTAACAAACACCTGTCACCTGAATTGTCTGTGGAACGTACGCCTGTCACCCATCGATTTCAAATTAAATAATTTAATTAAATCATAATTATTAATTTTCTTCAGTATTTACTTATAATATAGGCGTATATTGATTACAAATAATCAAGTAACTGTGATAACTCAATACAATAACAGAAGAGCTATGCGAAATTAACCTCTCCACGAAACGTCAAAGACTGTTTAAATATCACCTTCCGTTGGATTTACAATAACTCGGCGATTATTTTTACTATTTATTCTAGAAATATATAGAATACTTATACATTAGTAGCTAGCTGTATTTTAAACATTAATTAGCTAAAAACTCAGACAAACACTTCTCACTCTTATGAGAAACGTCCAACCTCACACTTGGGTCATTGAATCTCTCTTTGCTTGACAAGTTGTGGAAGCAGAGTGGAAGATAAAACCTAGAGCCCCAGACATAATACACTAACTACTTTCTACTAACCTGTAAAGTTTTAAAGAGATACTCTGTTAAGATTTATAGGGCTAGCAAAAAATAAATAACACACATAAAACCATAAACTTCATAACATAAAACTAGTATTCAGGCGCTCCTCACTGCTTTCAGCTAATACCAATAATCAACAATGATGACCCGCAAGGCTTCAGCTCTTGAACAGGAGGTACAGCTGAGATCCGTGCCGCAGGAGCTAGAGGCAACAAAAAAGCTCTATTCACAGCTGCTTGTGGAAAGGGAAGACAGTGAGGAAGAATATAAATCCATACTTAACAAAAATGCTGATTTAAAGAAGGAATTAGCGGTCCTACACGCTGAGTACATGGATGCTGTCAGCCAACGGGATGAGCTGCAATTAACATTGACAAATCTTGACCAATGCAGCCATACCCATACAAAGGCTTTAGACCTCATCAGGCAGCTCGAACAGGAGCTGTGTGATGCTCAAAATTTAAACAAAAAAGTACAGTTAAGTAGACTTAACGAAAAAATTCATGAAAATCAAAGCTTGCATGAGGAGTTGTTGGCTGGTGGCTCCAGTGCTATGCGTTTAGGAGGAGCAATTATTGACCTCACGACAGATGACTCATTTAGAAATGTTAATAACAAGTGTAGTATAGGAGCTCTGAGCCAAAATAAAACAAAAAAGTACATTAAAATCTGTAAATCTAGTAGTAAAATAACTGCACTAAAAAAGAAACTAAACTTTAAATTTTTTGAAAAAGAGAACAGGAAATGTATTGATAAATTAATAAACTATAAAAATAAAATTAATAAATGCGAACAAATGTATAAGCAGGACACACTTAAGCTGCAAAATGATATCCTTAAGTTAGAGGAATCATTGCAAATTATCTCTAAAAAATATGAATGTGCTCAAAAAGAAATCCAAGAGCACATTGTAGCACTAAATGAGTTGGTTGAAGGGAGTAAAGAAAATGCAGAGAAATTTAATTCACTGGTAAACAAGCATTGGAGTAGTTGTGTTTGCTCCACACAACAATCCCACGCTTAAGGATAAATCTGAAAATAATAGTGCTTTTTGCGACTATACTAAAGATAACCATTTGCAAGAATTATGCAGCACTAATAAAAATTTAGTCATTCCAAATACTGTTTTAATTTTTAGTGATAGTATTGGAAAATGTATGGCCCCATTCCTAAATAATCACTTAACAGCAACTGTAGTCACTAATAATTGCCTGCCAGGAGCTCCTCTACTGCACTTAGTTGATACGGCTATGAAGGCAAGAGTAAATATTCAAACCACATTAATAATAATGTATGGACATAACACTTATTTAAAAAAAACAGGACATAATTCAAAGTTTCTCCTTACTGTCTAACCTCAAGGTAAAAAAAAATTATCTGGTGTGCGTTCCCTTACATTTCATCCACAGAAAAATGTAATGATAGTATATATAAACTTAAACAATTAGTACCCGGAGGACCGAGCATTGCTCGGTTTGTTTTTTTGGTAAATCGTGTATTTTGGAAATTAGGTACATTTAGATACAACAATTATTATGCATACAACATTACTGCGTAATGAAATATGCATAATATTTTTCGATCTTACCGAGGTAATAATAAGAAAGTATGACATGATGTTTTTCGCAAAAGAAAGAACTTTAAAAAAAAGGTAAAAAAATAACAAAATAACAAATCGACAAAAAA